AGCGTGCACTGCTATCGAACTTTTTACAATCCATTTTCTCTCCAAAGTAATTTCAACCCACAGCGATTGCTTCTTTTCTAATTCTTTACAATACTTAGTCTTCATCTCAGCCTTTTTGGTATTCGGTTAAATTCCACTCTCTGTTGGATGGTGCTGTGCTGGTAGTAGTTATGTGTCCCCCCCGTCCCCCCCATTGGTTCTGACTCAGAACAACTCTTTGTACAGCCGAACAAAACACCGCCTGGCCTGTGCCCTCCTCGTGGTCTTTCCAATGCTTGAGATCATTGTTGCAGCCACTGCATCGACCCTACTCATGAGGGTTTCGCATTACACACTGGCCACCGACTTCACCAAGTGTGATGTCCAAGACTCGTCCCTCCGGATAACATGTCTGAAGTATGTGAGATGAAGTTTTGACATCTTTTGCTTATAAAGAGCATTCTAGCTGAACAACTTCCAACACAAATGTGTTGGTTCTTCTTGAAGTCCACTGATATTCTTCGTCAACATCATCACTCAAAGGCATCCATTGTTCGACTGTGTGCCTTATTCATCGTCCATCATTTGCATGCAGAGGAAGTGAGTGAAAATGCCATAACTCGAGACAGAGGCACTTTAGTCCTTAAAATGAAGTCTCTGCTTTTAAAAAACACCACCACCTTGAAAGAGATCCTCTGTAGCAGATTTGCCCAATGCAATGTGCTGTTTGATTTCCTGATTGTTGCTCTCCAGGGCATTGGCTGTGGATCCAAACAAAGTGAACTCTTGGGCAACTTCAATCTTTTCTGTTCAGCGTGATGTTCCTTAATTGTTTCAGGTTCGAGGATCTCTGTTTTCTTTGTTGAGGTGTAACACCTGCTGAGGGCTAGTCTTTGATCTTCACCAGGCCGCTCACAGGTCTATTAGCTTTCTGCAAGCAAAGCAGTGTCATCTGCCTAAGGCACGTTGCTAAGGAACCTTCTTCCAAACCTGTTGATGCCCTCTTCTTTGTATCTTCCAACTTCTTGATCGAAGAAGTGTGTCCTATGGCAGACACGTACATGCAAAGCATATGGTAACTGTGACATAGAGTCCACATGTGAAGTCAGAATATGTAATTCAAATATCAACTAGGCTACTATACTTATATGAACTATATAAACCTAGGCAAATTGCTTTCCTGCTTTGAGCCTGTATCTTCATGTGGATGAATGGCCCAAAATTATGTCTAACTTGATGAATTGTTTTGAGAACTAAAGAGGGCAACATTTTAAAATGCTTGATACATTCCAGGTTGTGAACAAGGATTTGTTAAAATCAACACTTTATTAACACTGGATAGGAGACATGTTAACTAGGCCTTTGGTATTTGTAAAATAAATATTTTATTTTCTTGTGAGATATTCTTTATTTGGAGTCTTAAGTAATAACATATCCTCACATACATACACCCCCAGCGCACACACTTTCTGTCCCCCACAGCACACTCTTGCATATCAGCTCTGGGGGTGTCAGCACTGCCTGAGCCAGAGGGACACCATACAAAATGGGCTACAGTTCCTTCACCTTCGCTAGATCTTCCTATCAATTGATGTCTCATCCACCCTCGGGTTGAAATGGCAATACATCCTATCCTAGTCCCAAACCCAATTTTTAAAAATCTGCCCTATATTTCAACCAATCCATAAATGTTTATCCTACTTCATTTGGCTAGGTCCTCCAAACCCCTCAGGATTCACTTCACAGGTGTGCCCAATCAAGGGCCTCTTCCATTGCGCATAGCTGCTCCGTTCATTTTCAACCACTCCCCTTAAGCAATTTGACACCGCAGATGCGTGGCTTCTTGTTCCTGAGCAAGTGTCAGCATCAGGCTGGTTCCTGTGCTTCACATCTGATGGCACCTGGCCTCATCGATGTACCACCTTTCAAAGGAGAGGATGGCATGAGCGGGCCATGATGCGTGTACTCCTGGCGAGGCTTTGAAGTGATGCAGACATCAATCTGAGTACAAGGTCAGCTGTCAATTCACTGTGTCCCCTGAAGCAAATTATTTAACACCTCTGAGCCTTCGTTTCCTTATTTGTACTAGGGGCCCTGAAACAATGTTTCGGCTTTTGTGTAAGAGAAAATAATAGTTTAGAGACTTTAGTGCATGGGATCTATTAACAAATGTTACAGAATGTTATCAAATATTTTCCCTTGTCCAATGTAAAGGTTACTTCTCCATTTGGCTGAGGCCCGTTCCCTCCGGTTCCAGAATGATCCCAAAGAAGATATAATCATAAAGTGGTCAAAAGCAAAACTTGGGAGCCAAACAAATCTAGGTTCAAATCCCAGGTTTGGCACTTCCTGTGATTTTCATTCATGAAAGGAACATAAGATTATCATGACGGTTAAAGCAGACCATGTTTAAACATAGCATGTTGCCCATCACATATTGAGTTTTTAATCAATGCTATTCTGCCTATTGTTTTCTACACTCCTGAACCTTCCAACTCGTTTCCCTTTGATTCTCTGCTTTCCACCTGCCCAGCTTGTAAAGTGCTTCGTGTCTCCTTCACAGGAAAAGTCCTTTATATACCAAAAGTACAAAAAGAAAGATCTTCCATGGCTTCTTTTTCAGCATTTGCTGTCCCTCTCCCTGTCTGTCAAACTCCTTGATAGAGTTGCTGGGACTCTTGGTTTCTACTTTATCTCCTGTTCATGCCTCATTTGACTACAGGATGACTTCTCCTAGGAGCTGAATATCATTCCACCGAAAATCCTCTTGCTAAACTATGATATCCTCTGAATTTCCCCAAACAACGGACATTTTAGGAAATGTTATTGATTTAGTGACATATTAACGGATAATGTCTTTCTTTAAAATTTCTTTCTCCCTTTGTCTGTTGACAGGATGCTCTCACTTCACCTGTGTCCTCCCCATTGCTTATTTTCAGCTTCCTTTGCGGGAGACCCTGCGCCTCTAGATGACGTCTCCGAAGCGCTTTTTGCCTCAGCAAGCTCATCTACCCCCTTGCTGTCCCTATTACTCTGGACTCTCAAGTCACATCACTCCAACTGTGCTATAGTCAACGTATCCCAAACTAGTTAGAGTTCTTCTATAATGTCTCCTTGCCGATAGAATCGTGACATTTAAACCCCTACCACCACATTCAAGGCCACTTGACATTTTATCTCTAACTCTGCTTCCAGGTCATTTCCTAGCCTTCTCTCAATAGGCACCCGGCCATCTATTCATGTGAAAACCCAAACCAAACCTATTGCCAGTGAGGTGGCCCCGACTTGCAGTGACTCTATTTGGGGTTCATATTTATGGGAGTAGATGGCCTTCCTTTTCTTCTTCAGAGTGGCTGGTGGGTTTGAACCAATGGCCTTGTGGTCAGTTTAACACTTAACCGACAGTGTCACTCAGATTCCTAAAACTAAATAAAAGTGAATATATATACTTATATAAAAGTATATATATTATAAAAGTGAATATATATGTATGTATATATATATACACCACAAACTTGCAGTTTGAAAGCCCAGGATCTTTTCTTATAATTGGTGTTTTGGGAAGACACAAATTCCCTGCCTTCCTTTGCTTCTTTCTACTTCATGTAGCACATGCCTACTCATCCTTTAAGGTCCAACCCATCCCCTGCTCAGGTAGGAGAAGTCTTCTGGAGACAATGCCCTCGGAGGGAAGAATTTGGGGAAACTAAGATCCTGCTATGGTTTGAGGCCATGTTTTGTCTCAATGGGAAGCTGGCTCTGGAGTTAATCAGGTCAAATGGGATCTGCCAATACTGACACATAGAACAGTAATGCTAATAGCAAACATTTATACTGATAGTGTAATAATACATAATACGGATACAGTATTATTCTAAGTATACTGATACAGTAATGCTAATAGCAAACGCTTACACTGAGAGAATGCGTCTAATGAGTCTCTGTCTGGCAGCCTGGCCTTAGGGTTCTTGTTCATAATAACTTCCTCCAGCCCTTAGGCCAAGGTCTTTCTCTCCATTCTTGAGAGTATTTCCCTGCCTCTGGCTCCAATCCTCAAGGGCCTAAGAGAGAAGCGGCATCCGAGCTCCTTCATGGCCCCATGCATGCCCGATTAAAATTCAGTCTGATCATGTCACAGAATTAGAAGCTGGAAAAATGTAAAAAATGGATTTGTATGCATAACATCCATTGCAGTTGGTGATGGTGGAGTCAGTGACTAATAAAAATGTCATTTCCCGTGATTTTTATAAATTACAGTAAATATGTCAGTAATCACCCACATTAGCTGCTGAAATGCAGGCAGCCATCTGGAGTAGAGACCAGGAGACCTCATTGAAGCCTCAAGAGGTAGACCCCACAGGTGCAAATTGACACCTAGGAAAACAGTAGTTAATACATCCTAGAATTTGGAGAGGGGGAAAAGTGCTAAAATAAATGTATGTCAAGCAGACAAATTTGGACTTCTCTTAAGAGGATCTGTCAAGTCAAACAAGAAATAGCTATAAATTACTTGTAATAGTAAAACTCTTGTCATTTATAACCTTTAACGCAACGGGCTCATTGAACACATCAACGCCTAGATCTTAATCTAGGGAGAGTCAATCTGGATATTCATTTCACTTCGAATGTGTAGAAGCCGGGGCAAACCACGCACGATCTGCCAAAGGCACCACCACCTTCGGGCAGCTCTGGAAGCCGTAGCGAGAACCCACTCGATAACTGTCTCGGGCTCAGGCCGATGAACGCATCAAGATATGAAAACCCTTTCTGGGCCTTAAAAGGAAGTGAAGATATGATTGGAAATGTCATGCCTTGGGTAGCCTCATAGCGAATAATTCCCAATAAATCCCACCATTATTCTGTTTATTTGTTTTACTGAGACGCTAGTTGAAGTCATTGGAGCTGAAAGCATGTTTCAACATGCCAAACATATTTACCGTATCTTGTAATCATCTTGCTTACTATTCACAGGCAAACAATAATTGAAGTTCTGTGTTTGTTTCAGATGCCTCCGTATATACTGCCCACAGATAAGAAGTCGTGGCAGAGAGACATTTCTGACAGGGGCTGATGGTCTCCACAGGAGCAGTTCAGGATCTGACCCTGGAAGATGAACACTCAGAGTCGGCTTCGGCATTATCTGAAAATTCAATGCCAAAGAGGTATTTATGAATGAGATCCTTAATGATGTTTGCATGCGCTGAATAAATAAATCTGTGTTTAATAATTGATAGAATGCCTGAAGGGAAGCCTCTGGAGAGAAGGAATAAAAGAGAAGATGATATAACCAGGCAATAAGCTCAACACTCACTTCACTGGGAAGGAGCCTATTGGTTGGGCATGGACAGTATGTTTCACAGGGAGTTGCATGTTAGCTCCTTGACCTATTCTGGAAAACAAAGCTAGTCCCCAGGAAGACACTAACGGTGTTGTATTTGCTTCTGTCTCCACTGACCCATGCTTTCTGCTTCATCTAGGCTCCACTCAGGGCTGCACTGTGGCAGGAGGCCGCACTAAGGTGCTGCTGCGTCTTGCAGCCGTTCAAATGGCACACCTGCGCGTGCCCATGCACCCCCACTCCTGCATTCGCTGCACAGCTACCAAGAGGTGGGGGTGTGATCGCAGTTACGCTTGGTACACCTGTTGGCCTGCGCTCACTCCCCCACCCTCCTGTGTAATTTCAACATTCTTCTAAAGTACACGTGGAGTCGGGTGAAAAGTTAGTCTTGGTGCCCATCTGAATGAATGGAAGCTAATTGAAAAGAAATCACTAAATTTAATTTTAAAACTATATTAGTGATTTAAAATTAGTTTCAAATAGTCACCACTTTGACTGATTCCTTACATCTAACTGGTTGATCCCCCACCCCACCCCCAATGACTGTGTAACCTTTAGCTGAACTTTATCCTATTTTTCCGGGAATCGTTTTTATAGATGCATTTGTTGGAGGTTTTTGTTAAATGCTGGTGAGTTGGGTCTGACTCATTGTGACTCCAGCCATAAGCACACAGAACACTGCCCAGTCTTGCCCCATCCACACAGTGGTTATATTTAAGAGTAGAAGTGTTTGGTGGTGAATATGAAATCATATGTAGGTAGAGTTTAGTCACTCTTCAGATCTTTTAGGTCAAACTCCTGTAATTCAAGGAGAAATATTTATTCTGGAAGTCAACTTATCCAAATTAACCACCTCCATTGTACACTGGCTAAACCAAACTACACCAACTTAAATTATTTATTTTATCTTGGCAGGCACCAAGTAACACATGGAATTTTAGTGTCTGCATAGGTCAAACTAAGAGAAGAATTTGAGGTTTTTTATCTTGCCTAGGTACTTTCTAGAAATGCCAGCAAACTACATCTTTTGCTTCAATTGTCAGGTTACTATTGGTGAAAGAATATTCACATACTTGCCTGTTTCTTTTTTCCATTTCTTTTGGTGAACTGAATAAATACTTCTTAATTCTACATTTTCAATTGTGTACAACCAGAATATTTATTCCATCATATTGACTCCATGTGACAGTTAACAAATGTGCTAACAATGTCAACTCCTATGGACTAGTAGCTAGTTTGGAAATGATTTAAACATAAGTGCTACTAATACATTATTTGACTAACAGTTATAAGCAACTATATGTCTTTGGTTCTGAGGCACATTAAAAAAAATACAGCCATCGCTTCTGGAACCTAAATATATTGTTACCATCAATGCCAACCTAACCTAACAGTTTTTTCTTCCTTTCTTTCTTAGTAGACAAAACAAAGATATGCCTTATAATCAGTGGCTTGTTGAGAGGAAGAGACAAATGTGTGTTTGTGGTAATAGTCATGGTAGGCCTAGATCATCTATGAAGAATTTTATGTCCCTATGGTCTACGGAGAGAAAATGTGTCAAGGATCAGCTACTCCTCTGTAATGCTTCCTTATGTAGGAGTTCAATATTATATCCCTGAACTTCAACATGGCTCCTTTTATCCTAAAAAGTCTCATATTTACAACAGGTGGTTCACAAAGCTGCAAACGAAATTTCAAGAAGATTCTCAAAGGCAGAAGCAAGGTGAGTATTTTCTTAATTGGTACCAAACTGATGCTGAGGGGTGTGTGTGTGTGTGTGTGTGTGTGTAAATAAATCACACTTCGTGCCACTGAATGACGTGATTTCCTATTCTGAATGCCAAGGTGAGTATGTAAATTTGTAACAAAATACCTACTGTGCTGCATTTGTGCTTGTTCTCTGGAAATTTTACAAGACGATTACTGAAATGTAGAACAAGCTCGACCCCTGACCCCTTGGCCACACCTTACAAGAATTTCCAGCCTGGATTCTTTGCATGTCTTTTCTCAGAGCTAGCAGTCCTGGAAAGGATTGGGAGCCAATTATAAATACTAAGCCAGTTTGAGTTGGTATCAGGGCAGTGGAGGGAAAATAAAGAATATTGTTAAATGTTAAACATTTAATTGGTGAGGCTTTCCAAAGCAAAATTGGCAGCATGGGCATGATGCTAGCGCACCTACTTATTACCATAAACAGACTGACTTGTGGACTGTATGAAAACAGATGCATACACACGGAGAGTGACTATCTATATTCCTCTTTTTTGGCAGCCCTGCCATTTAATGACTGAGATTTGATATTGTTTCCTTTCCAGCCCTCTGCTCTTCCCCACCTCTTAGTCCTCCTGGCATGATTACCTCACCATCCTAGATGCACGATTTAAAGAAAATTACCTATTACTTCAATTATTTGTTTCTTATCAACTGATGTTACACTACAAGCGTTTGCATTGAAAGGACACAAAGAAAGAGCAAGTCATGGCACATCGCCAAATAAAAGAGTGATGTTCTGGTGAATTTAGCCTAAATAATTTACTGCTATATAAAAGTGGAAAAGTGGAAGGTGAACCCTTTGACCAATAAATCTCTCCTGCCCGTGAAACCCTTATCTTGTCCCCTCCAATATATTCCACACTGGGAAGCCATCATCCTTGGCTCTGGTTTGTCATTTGTAAACCTTGATCTTCTGCACTCGGTGTCCTAAATATGGATAATTAGCATCAGTTTATCACGCTTCTGCATATTTTCTCTTCTCTCCGAACATGCATGCTTCTATTGGCTGCTATTCTGTCACCAAAGATTACGGAGACAGATTGCAGAGAATGAATGTGCTCAACGAGATTAGGAAGGAATAGAAATAGCAACTTGGCCAATAAATTCCTCGTGAGAGCCTTATCATACAATTACACGTTGACTTGTTTCACACACTCCCAGCCTCTTAATCCAATGCCCCCACCAAGAATACAATTCCACTAATTTCTGAATGACTGCATATCCTCCTGACTCGTCAGTGAGAATGGTGGGAAGGAGAAGCACTAGCTGAGAACAACATGGCGTCAAACTTTAAAATAAACAGTAAACTTTAAAGGTTCAACTATGTGATAGGAATTTGGCATGCTTAAAGCATTTTAGCATCTACAAATAAATGCAAAAAGTCCTGGCATAAAGAGATAGCTAACTTCTCTTTGAGTACCAAAATCCCCAATGTGCTTTGGGGATTCAGAACTGTGTGTAGGGGGAGAATTGCCTCTCTCTAAAACAGAACCAATCGGATTGCTTAAAAGCAGGGTAGAGGGTTTGCTTGAATGTATACTTACTATTATCACTGACAACAGTCTAGGTGCCCCTGAGTAACTCTGACCAAATCACTTGCCCTCTCTAAGGACAGTCTTCTTCCTCAAACAGGCTGCTTCACATGCAAGGCCCTTCCCAGAGCTAACATTCTATAGCTTCTTGTGTTCATTAATGTATATAAATAGGAAAGTCTTGCCTACTTTGAGTCTCTTAAGAGTGTAACCAAGAACTCTATAATAGGGCATCTGCAGGGGGAGCTCTTTTCTTGTTCCTCTCTGCCTGTTAATCGTTATTCTCCCCAGGGCTTTATAATAAGTTAGGTATTTAAAGAGGCCCATTAAGTCTTTCAATCTACCAGGGGACTATTTATAACCCGGAGCAGCAGTGAGGTATTATGGTGCACCCACAAAAGCAAGGCACGGCAGCAGGAAACGAAATGGCAGTGCAGGAGAGAGGCTCTATTGACTCGAAGGGTTAGAAATTCAGATCAAATATGAAAAATATATATTTTTGTTTAAAGAAAAGTGGGGCGGGATTCATTCCTTAATGAAATTCACAGCCATTCCAAAGGGAGTTGTTACATCTGGATCATAATGTTGCCTGTATTTTATTTCTTCCAAGTAATGTCTATTAGACCAGCTAGGTGAGAAACCAGACAACATCCATTCAGCAAAGTTGTGTTAAATGTCCTCTATGTACCCCGCGCTGGGCCTAGGATGTTGGGATATTGGCAAAGAGCAACGAAACGACGCTTGCCCTGGTGAAGCATTCAGTCACAAGGATGCTGGTATGTTTTGATCAGGATGGGTTGGCTTTTTGCAAATTGGCTAGTCTATGGGCTGCTGAAGATCCCCAACCCCCTTTTTTTTTTTAAAAAAAGAAAAAGCTAGACTGAAATCTCCTTCCCTACATGTGCAGAAGAGCAGGTCAAGTGTGAAATAGACAGAGACCAAAGGACCTATAGGGAAACATTAAGGTGCTTGTCTGAAAGGCCTAAACCTTAGGAATAGCAAATTAAAGAACGCTATACCTTCCCAGAACTGAATAGCAGTAGTTACCATTCCACTGCAATGGACACCCAATTCCTAAAATCATCTGGGGGTGGGCGAGGCTAGTGTGAGCAAGCACACCGGAATATGAAAAACCCCAGGGCAGGTCAGAGAGATTCTGCCTTCCCTGCACCCACTTCTCTCCCCAAACCAATAAAATTCCACCGTGTCATTGGGGTGGGGATGGGCAGGGGCAGGAGTTCTGCTGAAGGGGTATGAGGATGGGGAGTCAGTGATGGGATTGTTTCCTAGAGGAAATCTTCAGGAGGCCTTGTAGCTGTAAGGTTCTGCGGTTTAGGAAGGGGGTCTGAGTTGTCATGTAACGCCCAACCAAGACACAGCCACCAAGGTTTTAGAGATGAATAGGCCAGAAGGACGCTCCAGACAAAAGTGGAGTTTGGGCTGCCCTTCCGATGGAGCCCTTCAAAGCTCCAGGGTGCAGACACTCGACCCGGAGGAGAGGGCAGAACATATGAAATTCTCTGAAAAGTTATGAACGATCCTCCCCTCTCTGTTTTTTATGTTTCCTGAAGTGATGGGCTGTGTTGGAGGTTTTGGGGGTGGTGGGGTGCAGGAGGGGTGGGATGGACATTGGGAGAGAGCCGTTTGCCATTAATCTGGGAACAAACTGCTAACCTCGGTGACTGGTATTTTAGCTTTTCTTTTCTCACTTTTCTTAGTGTGGGGAAAGCAGTAAAGCTTGTGTGGACTGATTGTGAGGGGCTCTGCTGGAATTTGGCAGCGCAGAGCCTTGGAGAGCAGCCCCATGCTGGCTCCTATTCAACGGGCCAGTTTTCCTCGAGCTTTGGAAGTTTCACTCAGCCGTGCACTCAATGGCTTCACAAAGCTGATTACAAGCTTCAGCGCATTCCTGAAGGAGCCAAAAGCGACGCAGGTGCAAACGAGCCGAGGGAGCCCCTTATCCCGGTGACAGAATGGGACAAGCTGGGAAAGACTTGGACCACACAAATCCAAGGCTCACCAGGCAGCAGAAAGCCTGTCTTGGGAACCGGGGGTCATTATCCGCTCTATTCAGCAGGGCCCCGGCGGCGGCAG